GCGAACAACGCGATAGAAGAACTGAGCTGAGGAGGTTTCTGGAAAGCTAGAAGAGAAGAGAGAAAGAGGATAGAGTTGTTGGTATGTTTAGAATGAAGGGGATAGGCCCTTTATATAGACGTCTCCACTCGGCCAAAATGGCAGGGGATCAATTATGATCATAATTACGACCTTAATTATCGATGTAATTTATTCTAAATTTAGACATTCCATTTGAAGCGGTCGTAATTGATTCTAATTAAAAACTTTCCGTTTGTGATGATCGTAATTTATTGTAATTTCAAATCTTCAATTTGAAACGATTGTAATTTATTCTAATTTCAACTTTCCGTTTGAGATTATAATAAACCTATCCAACGGATAATATTTTATCCAAATAATACTACGACTTAGGCCATATACCCGAGTTTAATTTGGAGTTGTACAATTTGGTTTGTCACGAGACATGCATAATAGCCAAAATATTAACCAAATCCCATATATAATAAATAAATAATATTTATTATTTATTTATCCAAATTAATCTAATTAATTTGGTACACCGGTCCGTCACATTTTCACTTACCAAATAATAAATTGCAAAATAACCGATTATCCAACAAAATCATCACCGAAAAATAATGTAAATTCTGGGATACGCACGTTCCTTGGCAAGGGGTGTTCACCTATGATATGATCAGGAAAAGGAAATCGATAATATTTCCGAGCAGGTACACACAGCTGATCGCCATACAATTATCGCACTACTTCGGAGATTACATGATGGTCGACTCGAGGAGGCTCGGCAGGAATGTTTGTATTCTACCTAACCACTGGACGTCCTACAATAGGCCATGGTTGACCTTGAGAAGCTATTGAAATCTGATTCGGTTGTTTTCCGAGCTGTGGTTGCATTGGCGGCGTCAGTTGTGGATATATCATCTTCTGGGAGATTGTTGGCTACCTCCGATTTTCCGATTCACCTGTGTACCAGTCATTTGAGGAATTAAGCGTGACACACCAAAACCCATTGGAAATGGCCCAGCCTAAGGTGATGCGATATGAGTGGTTGTTGCAGTCGAATAAAGTGTGTGTACTCGTATGACCCGTATGGAAGCAGACCCGAAGAATTTATGCGCGCCCTCCAGCTCTGTATGACGGAAAAGAGGCAATGGGATATCAAGGAGAAGCCTATACTTTACGTCAGAAAATAAGCTGGATGCACTGAAGGTGCCTATTCGTTCAAATTGGCGGCCGAACTTTGCTCGGGGATTGACTGCGGTTGTGATACCATGGGCATCGCTGCAACACCTCCACTGTCATCGACAATATATTGTTCTTAGATCGATGACATCTCGTTTGATTCTCTAGAATATTGTCCTATACTATTCAGGTTTTGCATGGATTATTGCGAGCTCAGAACATCCTCATCTTGTTGGCGCATTGTGATTGTCATAAATGGAGTGCTTCATGAATTCTTGCCTTGGCTGTCGACGCCATTTGCTTACTTTACAATAATTCAGATTTTTTGGTGCTAATATGAGTCTTTCCTTTCTTCTTTTCATCGTTACACCATCGAGTCATCTCATTGTGTATCGTTGGACCAAGTATGTTCGAAAAATAATTCGTTAATTGTAGCGCTTGGTCATAAAAAACTGTTTGCATCTCCATTCGAAAGATTTCTGGAATAGCAGGCGGTGGCACATATGGATTTTGACCTCCTGCTTCCGTTGAAGCAAAGGCCTCCGGCATTGTATGGGGATGTTCCTTCGCATCGCCGAGGACTGTTCGCCATCACCTTCATTTGATCTTTGACTATTTTTAGAAGTCATCGAATCGTTTAAATTTCAACTTCATAATTTTATGAATAACACAACGTGTCCCACTGTTCGTGCCAATCTGTTATCGCTCGAAATATTTTTCGACAAGTTATCGGGATGAGCCATCCAAAAATTGGATGGATACTCCAGCTTCCTCCAAAAAGGATCCGGAACCGTATTTGAAAATTCTGATAAACAGGATTAATGGAAGAAAAAAATAAGAAAGTAAGAAAAATAAACAATAAGTTAACGAAAGTAAAAAGAAAAAAAAAGCAAGAAAATAAGTGAAAATAGAGAAAAATAAAATTGCATAAAGGAAAAATAATGGAAAATTATGATTGGATGTCATCTTGAAAACAAACTACATAATATATATACTACTTCCTATCAAATTTAGACTAGCTAAAATTCTATTTTACTTATATCTTATCATTATCCAAAAAATATTTTCATCTAAATATTATTTTATCTGAGCTCGCCAATTTGGATTTGGCCTCCGTTTGAGTTGAATAATTGGATTCTCTCATATCTAATTAAGTTCATCTTTTTCTTAAACTCAAATAGTGTTCGATATTTTTGGAATAACAATACACTATCTAAACAACCGTTCTCAGAACAAAAAAAATGGGTCATGGATAGAAGGAGTATATGGATACAAATGTTTTATATACAATGGTAAGAAGTAATAATAATGAGGGAAAGAAAAAGATCCAAGAGATAGAAAAGAGGAGATGAAAGTGTATTAAGGTAAAATGATATGATTTATGTGATTTGTTTATTTTTTATTTTGTTAGAATATGAAACTAATTCTCTATTTCAATCATAAAAATACGTGCATATTTATAGTGATATACGAATCGTCTAAATAAGACAAGAATTCTACGAATTTCTTAAATAAGATAACTACCATAAATATAATATATTGTTTCTAAATATATTTTAATACCCCTCCTCAAACTCATGATATGATGGAACAAACTTGAGTTTTTCAGAAGTGACCGAAAAAGATATAGCTGATATCTTCCATGTACGAATTTGAATTCGCCAAGATTGACTGAAAGTGGTATAGCCGTCCACTAGATCATAGTCAGAAGTAGAACTCTCAACACCGTTAGAGTTGAAAATAGGACTCGTTCGCTCACAACGGAACTAGAGCCGAAAACATGACTTGCTCACTCTATAAAGCTAGAGTCGGAAACAAAACTCGGTCACTCACAACAAAGTTAGAGTCGAAAATAAAACTCTCTCGCTCACAACAGAGCTAGAGTCAGAAACAGGACTCCCTCGCTCTCAATAGAGTTAGAGTCGAAAACAGGACTCTCAACGGCGTTAGACTCGAAAGTAGACTCTGTCAGTAGAGTAGTAGAGTCAGAAACGATATGAAAATAACAGTATAATCGTGGATAGAAGCAAATACATTAATAAAATATAAAAATATATACATGATATAACGGGCCATGGAGATACCCGGAGAGAATTTTACTATGATACCTTGTTAAAATATATTTAGAAGCAACATTTTATATTTATGATAGTTATCTTATTTAAGAGATTTATAGTATTCATGTTTTATTTAGATGATTTGTATATCATTATAATATGCATGTATTCTTATGATTGAAATAGAGAATTTTAATTCCATATTCTAACATATTTTATATATATTTTAATATTATTTATTCCGCTGATTGTTTACTAACATATATTCTATTATCTCACAGTATATAATATAAAAATATTATTTAAATCAAAACTGAAATTGAAAATTTAAATTCAACATTCAATTTCATATTTAAACCAAACACAACCATATATTTTCTCTTTTACATAGATTACCATTTTTATAAGATTGTTGCATTTCTTTTATTGAAAAAGCTCACCCAGAATCCTGAATCCATATTTATAGATTGTTGTCATGCCCATGCTGTATGGTTAGGAGCAATGCCAACCACACATTTACATGACAATGTACAAAAACTTACAAATATTGTCCAGCGCCGTTTGAACAAAATATATATATTTTTTTTAAGTAGGATTCCGTTAGTATGTTGATTGAAATTTATCATATGATACTAAGTATTTCAATTTATATCTATTATATTTTCTAGTATATAGTACTAGTGTTGGTGTGAACCATCGGCATACACATACACCTCCAAATAAATACTCCCTCCGTCCCACATATCATGTCCACGTTATCGTTTATGTCCGTCTCACATTTCATGTCACTTTTATTTTTTGAAAAATGATTACACACTTTAATCTCATTTTAAACTTTTTAATTTATTTATTTTAATTTAAATTAAATTAATTAATTATCTTAATTTTAATTTATAATTATTTATATTACTCTCTCCGTCCAGCTAGAAAGTATACATATTTCTATTTTGGGACGTCTAATTACAAAGTAAACATTTCATTAAATACCTTACTTTTTTCCACAAATACCCTTATTTTACGTCACATCATTACTTTTACACCAAAAAACAAGGGCAAAAATATCATTACACTACTTTTAACTACCCATTATAATTAAAATACTATTATTTCTTAAAGACCGCGTCAAAAGTAATTGTATACTTTATGAATGGACGGAGGGAGTATATGATAATTATTTTCACTAATACATTCTTAATTATATACGGTATAGCATACACGGTATATGGAACAAATGGAGTAATTCATTTAAAAATTGAGTGTGACTCTACTTCGGTTCGGAAGTAACGAGTTTAGGGTTAAAAATTAAAAATAATAATACTACATGAATAGGATAATTAATTTTGATATAACTGTGCTTAGACAATGTTTTTTTTTTTCTTTGTAAAGATTTAAAATTTTAAAAATTTTAAAAAATAAAAATAAAATATTAATATTTGATTTATATTTTATAAAATAAAAAAAATTGTATTAGATACTAGTTTTCTCTCATTTATGATGTCCACTTTTTTTTTTTTTTCATCAATTCTACTTATTCTGTCATTATTTTTTAAAAAAAAATGATGAAGTTTAATTTTATTATTTTTATTATACGGTTGGCAGAAGGGAGTATAGTATTTTCTTTATAAATAAACTTAAATAGTACAAATGTGTGAAATGGGATCCACAATAATGGCATCTTGCTTGCTGAGCTCACCGGACCCAAACCCTATCTTCTTCTCTATCTCCATCTTTATCTTTCTTTATCATCATCATCTTCTTCACAATTCTCTCTATAAATAACTACACCATGGTACCTTACATAGGCTTCAAGAACCCGCCTCACAATCCCCTTCGGTTCTCTTCGCCCTCCTTTCCCTAATTCTCTATCCATTGGACTCGAATGGGAATCATGATCAGATCTACGCCTGCACCTCATGATCCCATTCCCAAGCCATCCATCAAGTTCCTGTGCAGCTATGGTGGTCGGATTCTGCCCAGATATCCCGACGGAAAGCTCCGCTATTATGGTGGCGAGACGCGTGTCCTCTCCGTTGAACGGAACGTCTCCTTCCCCGGTCAGTCCTCAATATCCTCGTTCTCTTTTTTCCGATCATTTCTTCTTGTCATTTTGTGATTGTTATCCATTTTCTTTATCTGTTGATTTTTTTTGGGTGAATTTCTCTCGTAACTTACTTTTGTATTGTTTCTTCTTTATTTATTGATTTTTGTTTTTTTTTTTAATAGATTTGTTGGTGAAATTGGGGGAGATGTTTGGATCTTCCGTCAATTTGAGGTGCCAATTTCCGACGGAAGATCTCGATGCACTTGTTTCGATCACGTCCGACGAGGATCTCGCCAATCTCATAGAGGAATACGACCGTGTTGCGGCTGCGCCGCCGTCATCCCTGAAGATTAGGGCATTCCTGTCCAGCCCCAAAACCACCAAACCACCCTCTCTGCCATCTTCCCCTGCTTCCTCCAGCAGTAACGACTCCACGTCCCCCAAATCGCCGCCGTATTCGTCCACCGCCGGTGTCTTACCTCCTCGGTGTCCTGCCTCCAGTAGCAACCGGTGCATCCGACACGCCCCCCTGAGGCCTCCTCCGTATCCGATTAATGGTGAGAAAGCTGCTGGAAAAATACCTCATAAGTATGCTTGTCAATATCATCATCACCACTATGGAAATGGTGGTCCTGTTTATTTCGTCCACAATGGGCGTCAATGGCAGTAGCAGGAACACTTCCTGTGGGGTGGACTGAATGTGCCTTTTGGAAATCTTATTAATATGTGGGAAGGGGGAACTGGCAATCACTAATATGCAAGAAAGATTAAAAATGAAAAACCAAACTAGTATATACATACATATATATATAATATATATATATATGTGATGTATGATGCATATGGGACTAGTCTAGTAGTGTAGTGTGTGTGTGTATATGATTGAAGGAAGGGATCCATCCTTTTTTAAGTTGATCCATTTGGTGCATGCCAATTTAATGCAATTTACTGGGAACTTGGTGGTGAGTGAAATGCTTCTGCTATCATTTTATGTTTGATAGTCTTTATAGTTTTCTTGGTAGCAATTGCAGTTTTTGCTTGTTATAAGGCCATACAAATTTGGGGAAACAATTATCTTGAAGATGGTTTTTTTTTTTTTTTTTTTTTCTCTAATTTTTTCTGGGCCTGTCTTATCTGAAAAGTTTATGGTTAGTGTCTCCTTATATACTGCTAGCACTTGAAGATTGATTGTTCTTTCCTGTTGTAGAGCAGCTATTGTTGTGTTCTTTGTAATTCTGTGTTGTTGCATCTTGATCATAATTTGGTTATATTCTTTGCTAATGCCTTTTCTTTTCCTTGCTTTTGCAGTTTGAGGATTTGGAATAATTCTTTGCCTGATCTGATAGGAAATATGGTTTCGAGGAAATTGAGATGCTATCTTTATAGCTATAGGTATTCCAATATTCAGAGCGTGGGGTGAAGGTATGCTACTACTTCACTCACTTTTTGTTTGCATTTTAAAGAAATTCATATTTTTTGAACACTGAGAACTCTTATTTTATTTTTGGTTCTTTTCCAAATCCTAACGAAAGTGATGCAATTGGGTGGCTCTTTAAAATTGATACAGGATAATAGCTTGGTTGAGCTTTTCACTGAAAGTGGGGATGCTGGAATAGAAAGTTTCATCCATTTCTTCTGGTGATGATCACATCCCATTTCCTAAAGGTTAGACAGTTGCAATCATTAAACACCTTCAAATTTTTTCGCCATTCATGACAACATATATATATATTAATTTGTTGTAAGGTTTGACATAGTGATTGATAGTCATGAATTTGTTATATGAGACAGCTGACTGGTGGTTGCAATATATTTATGATTGGGTAGGAGGGCGCTGAAGCAGGGAAAGGTGAAATTCCCTGTCCCCGTCCACCATCCGAACTTACAACTTGTCCTGTCCGGCCTAACTTGCAGATGATTAAATTTGGCTGAAGGTTTACCAAGTTCGAATTTTTTGGTAGCAGCTGCAAGTTCTTAGGTCATTAAAAAGAAAAAAAGAAAATAATTGCACAACTTGGGTTGGGACCTCTTTCAACTACTGCTACTGCTGGGACCGTGAGAAGTTAATTGTGGTGATATTAGCCTTAAAAGCCACACTTGGTAGCAAATGACCATATTATTAATTGACACCCGGGGCCCATATCATATTTAAGAAATAACTGGTAAAAAGATGATGAATCTGAGTGAAAATGGCTGGGTCGATTTATGATCATAAATAATTGTGCCGGCGGTGGTGTGGAAGGAATATTGTAAATTGTAGAGCTGTTAGACGGGTCGATTTGCGTCGGTTCGTATTGAGTTGAATATTTTAAACGAGTTGAATTAGTCAATTTTAATCCGATTTGTTTATTACAGTTGTTCAGGCTGACACTAGTATACAAAAATAACTTGAAATTTTTTATTCAATTTAAAATATATATAATGAATTAGGTTAAATTATTTAAAATTAAATTTAGTTTAAATTAATTTATGAGCAAATTATTAAATTATAATTATTTTAAATAATATAATCAATATATTAATCAATATTAATATATTATAATCGGATTGTCGTGTTGGGTTCGAGATGAGAACTTCAATTCTAACTCGACTAATTTATTAAAGTGTCAGGTTTGTGTCAAATCATATACATAATCAAATTGAAAATTCCTCAAAAATTTTATATGGAATTGATGTGTCAGATTAATATTTGTGAGCTCTAGTAAATAGGGACTTAAGTGTTTAAGATTTGAATTGCCTTGAAATTGTTGCAATTAATTGCCGAGGGATATGGAAAAGTATAATTAAGAAAGTAAGCATTTAGGTTCAACGGTGCTCTGATTTAATCCAATCAAAATTATGTATATAGTGGGGTTAATGGGGTCAATCAATCAGCCATTTAGGCTAATTTTAAACTGGAATTGAGATAGGTGTTGTAGGAAGGTTTTTTATAATTCCATTTAGGAGATAATTATGTAATTTTAATTTTTTTACTTATTTTTCGATAGTAATATTTTAGAAACAATGTTAAATTATTTTTTAATAAAATATTATAAGAAGTATTCAATTTTTATTATAATTTTTTTTAAAAATTTTTTGTATAAATAAAAACATTAATAAATAAATATAGGAAAAAAATTATTTTTAGTCCCAATATAATTAAAATTCATCAATTTTGGTCCAAATATAAAAATTTTATTAATTTTGGTTTCAATATAACCAAAATTCATCATTTTTTTGTCTCAATATAACCAAAATTAATCATTGTGTCTCAATATAAAATTTTTATCAATTTTAGTCCTAATATAACAAAAATTCATTATTTTTGTCCCAATGTAATCAAACCTTATCTTATTTTTGTCCCACCGTCAACAAATCGACAAAAAATGCTGTAATGAAAAGAAATTAAACTTTACATTTATATTTGAAGAAATTGCATAATCTTGCAAGTCCACGTTAGTATTTTCCGTCGGTTTGTTGACGGTGAGACCAAAAAAGATAAACTTTGATTGTGTTGGGACAAAAAATGATGAATTTTGATTATATTGAGACTAAAATTGATAAAACTTTTATATTGAGACCAAAAATGATGAGTTTTGGTTATATTGAGATAAAAAATGATGAATTTTGATTATATTGAGACCAAAATTGATAAAGTTTTTATATTTGAATCAAAATTGATGAATTTTAATTATATTGAAACAAAAATAATTTTTTCCCATAAATATATTAATAATAATAAAGTGAAGGTCAGCAGTAACTAGCGGACATGGCGTCCAAGCAACGTTAGCATTTCTCGTCCACACCTTTTTAACTTGAAGCTGGAATTGGAAACTGACCTTACCCTTTAGCGTTTCCCTTCCATTCCATCCTTGTCATCATATTCCCGTCGTAAAGTGACAATGAGAGTGCCAATAATAATAATTATAATAAAGAAATAAATAAAGTGATATAAATACATTAAACAAACAAACCAGCTTGCTCTCTTCATCTTATCCCCAAACTCGTAGAGATAAGATGACCTTACCCACCTCTCCTCACCGCCGGAAAACCCACTAATTCATTTTTCATGTCTTCTCTCTATCTTTCTATTTTATTTTATGTTTTGGAAAGTTGAAATGACTATGATAAAATAAGCTTCTATTTTCTTTAATATTACATCTACAAACATAATTTTAAATGTCAATATATATAACAAAATTACACACCGTTGTGTTTGATTGGGGATTTGCATTTTGGGTTGAAATTTGAATATTAAAAAATTTAAATTAGAATAATTTTAGATGTAATATAAATAATTATTAATGTAATATTTTGAATGTATTAATTTTTACTATAATATAAAAAATAAGTATTTAATTTAATATTTTTTTTAAAAAAAAATGATAGTGGAAATTCTACTACAAAAAATGGCTAAAAAATCGCTACAAATAGCCATTTTTTGTTATAAAAAACTATTTGTAACAATTTTGTATCGGATTTTTGACCGGTGCATATACTCGAGCTACAAAAAATCTCTGTACCAACTTTTTTCATTACAAAAAGTGGACGGTCAACGCACTTCTTAATCACTTATTGTAACGATTTTTGTAACGCGAACTTTGAATTTTCGATGAATTTGTAGCAGATATTTCTTGTAATAAAAGAACCGTTACACTAAATGTTCATCCATTTGTAACGACACTTGTTACGGTATAATTTTTGTTACAATAGCTTATCGTCATAAAACTATTTAAAACATTAAAACTTTTAGTAATGGTATTTGTAACGACCACAATTTCGTGACAAAAAAATATTCTTATTCTTTCAATTAAAACCTGTACGATACGAAAAACACTCCCAAACAACATTACAAAATATAAGAATATTACATAAAATATCAATTGCACTAAGTACGCACTGTCTAGGAACATAACTACTTCGCAATTCGGCGTAACATATACGACAAAGCATAAAAACAAACATACAAAAGAAAGTAGAAAATGCAAGTTCAACCAACAGAAAGGAGGTCAGCATCAATCCACAAACAAAAGATAATCATCATAGAATCACGTGTCACATTGCCATGCCCCATGCAGCGTCGAATTGAACATACACGGCAGTTGCGGGCGACGAACAAGCTGCAAACATAGTGCAAAAGTATATAAGAATTTAGTCGAGATAGAGCCTATCTTGATGACAGAAATGTAAAAAAAAAAACAAAATATAGATCAACATAAATAGAATTATAGTATGGACCCTATCTTGATGACACCCGGACCAACATCCTTACAATAACACAATTATAGAACAACTATCAGTATAATCAATTTATTTGATGCATGTAAAATCTGTTTGTTCAAAACAACCAACTTAAACATGTATTGATTCAACAACAACAATTAATTGAGTGCAAATGTATCCAAATACCAAACACTTTGAATTATAACAAAAAATAAAACGGTTTGGGAATAAAATCAATTCACCCACCAACATCTACAATAATCTTTAATTATAAACATATATGCTCCCCAACAAGACCATACGAAACAAACAGTTTCCGACTGAGTGAACATTTTCCATCTACCATTTCAATCCAACCTCGAGGTTTCACCCGATAATAGCCAACCAATCATCTTTTGTCCTTCTCAAACTGGGGAATGAAATATAGCTGACTTGGGTAGTTTGCATCCTAAGTATGAAAGGTTCATAACTGCGTAACAGTACTCATATCGCACTTATGTTTTGGAGAAAATACGATTTTTTAGAAAAAATTTCAAAAATATTGATAAGCAAGAATGGTTATTAAAGCAAACAAATACACCAAGCTAATTGGATCTCTCTCGTAAACATGCAATACACATTTTGATCAAATATAATTTAGTAAAACAACAATTATTCTCAACATATTCAAAAGCTAATTTCAATACATACAACCATTGTAAGTAGAAGCTGAAACAAATTTAAATCAAACATTTAGCGGTGGATGTACAGACAAGTAATGTCCAAGCTAATTTCAACTATAAATTATGAGGGAAATTAATACATTGATAACGAAAAAAAAAAAAAAACATATGTAGTGAACATTAAATGATAAGAACAAGAGCATACATAACGAGAAGGAAATGAGAATCTCAAATAGGATACAATAGTTCATCAGTCATGTTATTATTTCCAATGTCCGATTCCAATCCAGGATCCTACCTACAATGTAATTTATAAACAGCCCACACACAAACATACATGCATAATAAATAAATAAATGACTATTAGATTAGAATATTATTATGCAGGGCACCAAATACACAACTATATCAAGTCAAGAATAGTTTTAATTGTGAAGCAAAAAAAAGACAAATGATTTATTTGTGCAGCAAACAACACATTCAAAATATGTATTACAAAACAAATGGATTATGAATTGAAACAGGGGGTTTCTTTAGAATTATTTGATAAAAATATATATTATATGGATACAATATTAATAAGCACCGGAATGAGTAATTTTTCCATTACCATTAAAGCCGGGAAATTGAACAGCTCCACCATTCACTGGACATACTTACCAAATTCCATTCATGGAAACCTGAGAAAACAACCAAAAACTACTACTCATAACATAATTGATCCACACATGTCTTGATTCGAATAATAAAGTTACTCACAACTAAAACAAAAGCTTTTAGCTGTATTATTTCAGAAAGAAATGTTTTAATTGGAATGTATTTTGCTCCAACATTCACAACAAGGAGATAAAGAGTGCAAACACTACAACTGGAAACCTTCGAGGGATGCCAAAAAATACAGCATCCTGTGAGAGATTTCAAGAACTGGAAAATGTATGCAATTTGTATCATTGAGCTAACCACCAAGCAAAAAATAAACTCATAAATTAACACCAACACAAGAAAATAATAAAGTAAATAAAAAAAAAAAAAAAACAACCTGCATCATGAAAAAATCAACATGAACATGCCAAATTAAACAAATTCAAAGCTACAAGGCTTCACCAAATCTCATCTCTTCAAAATACGCAAGTTGCGATCCTCACCCAACATTTAGCAAAATAACAAAACAAAAAGAGCAGCGGCGCAAAAGAAATTACTACTAAAATCGCCTCAATACAATAAACTAAAACAATAGAATGAAGAAACCGTATAAAAAGTGGCTTACCGTCGGCGGGCAGGATTAGCTCGCGCTCAACGAGTCAAGAAAGACGGCAGCGGAGCACGGTCGACGGTCGAGGAAGGCGGAGGCGGCGCGGTTCAGGGGTGCGGTACGGATAACTTAAAAGAAGGAAAATGAAAAAGTACGGGAAGAAAAAAAAAAGTGAAAAAGAAAGAAGATGAAAAAACGAAGAAGACGAACAAAGAACGAACAGAGGAGAGGAA